ATTCGCTAAAGTACAGGATAGTTCTAGAAAGTAGAGGGCGTGAGAATAGTCACGTGATCTCGATGACACAACAGTATCTTTAACAAAGATTCATTTGTGAATTTCCACACCCTTTACTGAGTCAGTCTCAGTGTAAGGTGGTTTTCATGATAAGAATAAAACCGTCTTTTTATATTTGTTGTATATTTATTTGTACCAAAAAAAAATTGAAAAATATGAATACTACTATTTTCACTTCTGCATAAATGCAGTACTGATCAGAAAGTTCCAAATTGCTTATCTCAACAGTTTTAACAGTTAAAATTTTCATATCTGTTTCCTTGTAGTTTTATGTTTTATTGCTTTACTTTGCATCTACTGCAGCAGTAATCCTTATGTTAAAAGCAATAAATCACAGCAGGAGCTCACTACCCATAAAGCTAATGTAAACAGCATGGCACTCAAGCTTGTGAAATTTTAGCTACTGTACTTTACTAATATTTAGTTAGGCTAAGCTGAAAAGTCTCTAATTTTACATTTTAGTTACTTGTTATAAAATATGCAAAATAAAATATACATATACAAAAACAAATATTCGAAGTACATAATGCATAATCAGGCTTGTCTTCACTAGAGAATAAAATTTATAACATTCATCTCTGCAATGAGTCTCACAAATTTTAAGTGTTAAAAACAGAATTAATGTAGCTTTCAAATATGCATTTTAGAACATAAAAATGTATCAGTCATTAAAACAGAATGACCCAAAACTACTATACTGATGCAACTTTCTAAGTAAGCTAAAAATAGATTTTAAAACAATCCTCTAGCATTTGGAGCAGCAAAATATGATCATCATAAACCAAACAATTCCTCTAACAGTTTACAATGTGAACACTAAACAACCCTAAGATTTACATAAAGAAGAATCTGTTCTTTTAACTGGTTATAAACATGTTCACTCAGCCATGTATTGTTGATTAGTAAACAATTTTGAAAGTCAGAAAAAAAGAGGGAATGGTATCTATAGTGAGTTTAATCAATTTATTGATATCTCAGCAAATGAATAAGTTTTAAAGTTCAAATTTTAGATTCTTGCTTGTGATTATGAATAGTTTGAGATTCTAATTGATTGTAAACTGCAGAAACATTGGAGCTCACTTGTTTCACAGAAAACTTAAGGTAATTTTCTTTAATTTTTATTTTTGAAATTAAGAAGTTATTACTTAGATAATATTAGAATCTGAATTATAAACTACAATTTCATGTCAAGCTTATTGACATACAATAATAGAATTGTTTGATTATACTTTGAATATAACTCTGTAAAAGGTCATGACATATACACTTTCACCCAGTCATGGTGAAAGAGTAAAGACATCAAACACACAATGATGACAAACATGCTCTTCATTTGAAATTCTTATGTGTGTTTTCAAACTAATTTTAGAGATGGACAAATAATTAAAATCATTACTTTTCATGGACATATAAAATGGGATCTTTTTATTCACTCCATGAAGATGCTTATTCTTCAATTCTCGTACATGCTAAGAATTCATCAGCACATCTCCTAAATTGTTGCTTGGTCCCAGATACCAATGTGTTACACTTAAAGAAAATGGTTCCTGCCTTTAATGCTGTCACAGGCTGTTATAGTATTATTGGGTTGTCACAAATGGGTAAAGCAAAATCTTAGAAAGTACTCTCAAAAACACAGAAATGTTTTGTGGTTCAACAAATATGTGTACATCTACTGTATCCTTGCAGAATGTAATTCAAAATGTTAGTTTCTTAACAACAAACTTCTTTGATAATAAATCACTTGATGGAAACATAGATACAGTTAATATTACCTGTTCAATCAGAATAAGTCAGTAGATAAAGTATTACCACTTATAGCAAACAGCCTAGACTTACATTTGAAAAGAGCTACTTATCAAAAGTGCATATACAGAGAAATTAATTTATTACTGAAACAGTTCTAGATTCTTCAGATGGATATGAGAAGTTTTCAAGTCAACAGTACTATTGTAACTACATGAATAATATGACTCCTATCCCTGATGCTCCATGTGGCAGTAAGAACACCTGCAGAAATCCTTACAGGTAGCAATTCATTTCATAACTGAAGACCAGCTCTGAATCAAGCGTAACAGAGTGAATTGTTTGAATAATAGTATATTTTCAGTCATTATTGTGAAACAAACAAAAAAGTTTTACAATGAAAGAGTTGGTTATCATACCTTTCAAAAAACTGTGATCAAACTAAAATAAAATAAATATACAGTAGGTTCCTAACTGATCAGAATAAAGACATCTTTTGATTTGAAAGAAATCGTCTTCTTGTACTTTTCATTTTGTAACATTCTAAGTGCTAATTTTGCTGCTTAGCCTTTATCTCAGGTACCAGTGAATTTTATGAATATTGCTGATGGTTATCAAAAAGTTACTGTTTTCCTAAACTGAAAATGTACTTCTGATAGATACTTACCTCCTCTTACAAAAAGCTTTCTCAATTTACACTGCCTACTATCGGTGCAAATTTTTGCTTGCCATTAGCATTGATACTCCCACTTATTTCTGCATACTGACAT